CATGGTTGAATATTTCATAATTCATGCATCAGAGGGTTAAAGCATAGAACATTATGTGATAGCGCATATCTTTGTAACAATGGACTTATGTACGCGTAGTTAATTGTAAAATACAGTCCCTACGTAATTAAAATACTGTTCAGGCATGATAATACAATCGTGACGCATTAGAATAATTTAAACGGGTTATCTTTATCCTGGCCCTAACCGGTCCAAAGAATGATCCTATCACCATGATGTATTAGAATGTTTGTATCTGTTATTACCCAACAGGATATTAAAGCATAGTACATTATGTGATAGCGCGTATCTTTGTAACAATGGACTTATGTAGATGTAGTTAATTGTAAAATCCAGTCCCTATGTAATTAAAATACCGTTCAGGCGTGCTGATTAAACGATGACTTATTAAAAGTTTTATGTCAATAATTACCCTACACCATGTGCTCCTACCTAGAGCATTATATGACAGCATGATCCTATAGCCATGATGTAATATAATGTTTGTATCTTGTTATTACCCAACATAATATTAAAGCATAGAATATTATGTGATAGCACGTGTCTTTGTAACAATGGATTTATGCACGTGTAGTTAATTGTAAAATCCAATCCCTATATAATTAAAATACCGTTCAGGCGTGATAGTTAGACCATGACTTATTGGAAATTTTGTATCTAATATCTTTCTATACCAAATGGGACAATATGGAATATTACACGATAGCGTATTGCTCTGCACTGAGGGACCTCTGTAAGTGCGATAAATTGTAAAATCCAGTCTCTGTGTAGTGAAGGCACCGTTCGGATGTAATGATCAAGTCCTCTATAATGTTACAATATAATTGTACCTGTTTATCTATAAACTAAACCGGTTATCCTAAACATAACCGTACACCGTCCTAAAAGGTCAGGGATAAAATTAGGGTTTAGGACAAGGGTGGGGCCAGGGTTAGGGTAAGAGAGGGGGGGTTTGGTTAGAGTTACAGGGTATCCGCGGGTCCTTAAAAAGTCTTAAAAAGTCTTAAATTTACTTTTCCAAATTTAAGGCCTTGAAAATCCTTAAAAATGACAAATAATCCTTAAATCCAGTTTCCAAAGGTCTTAAATTACCAAAGACCAAATAAACAAGATTATTTTATTTCTATAAAACTTTTCGTGAATTTCTAGTTGGTGTTCAGCATTTTTTGTGTATGATGTTGGCATAGGCGGAACCGTACACATTCAGTTGGTTGTGAAAGGGGGCTGTTTTTAGATGAGCACATTAGCTGGTTAAGCTAGTGGGAGCTTGCGCCATGGGAAGTGCAAGTTTAATGGTAACTGGATGGCTAATCCCACGTTCACGACGTGGTTAGCACCGGTTCCAGGCAATAGCTGGAAATTATAGCTTAAATTTATTTTTAAAAATGGCTTAAATTTGGTCAAAGTGGCCTTAAAGAAGGTCTTAAAAAGTCTTAAATTTGGCTCCCTTAAACCTGCAGATACCCTGAGTTAGAAAGGGGGTGGGGCCAGGGTTAGGGTGAGAGAGAGGGGGGTGTTGGTTAGGGTTAGGAGGGGGGTGGGGCCAGGGTTAGGGTGAGGGTTAAGCCTGGTTTATGCTTCTCCATCAGCTCCGCAAGGGACAGACACGCACGGATTGACGGAAGCGTTTTGCTCTTTTACTTCTCCGTCTCCTGGAGAGTGTTGCAAAGCAATTGCCCGGCAGGACAACAGAGGGCGTAGCGCTGTTCTGTGGTATCCTGTCATGTATCGGTCCAAGATCGTGTGTTCATATTGTGTTTTTTGTGTATATAAGAGACTTTTAACACGGACATATTTGTCTCTCATTCTCCCACCGCTTCATGCGCTCCCCACCTCTAAACCCACGTTTGCTGTCATTTCTGTCCACAAATAAAACGCTTGCTGCGCATCTTTTCACTCCTCCAGTCACGGGAGGATGAAACGTTCATATTTTTAGAGTTTTTTCGCGAGGTATTCTTCAAGCTTCTGTGTCTGCCGCTAGTTAAACTCGGCTCTCTTTGCAATGGCGGCACTGTAAACAACAGCGGCATCCTGACCAATCACAAGCTTGCATAATCCGTCTCGTTCGACGGATGTTTAAAAAAGTGGGCTCGACTCCGTACGTACTTGCGTGCCTGTCGGAGCCCTACGCAAGGACGGATAATGGCGTTGCGTGTGCTCCGCACTGACGCAGACGGAGAAGCATAAATCAGGCTTTAGGTAGAGTAGATAGAGTAGATGAATCTCAGTGAGTTTCCCCTGAATCAGTCCATTAACCGAAACAGTTTGAATAGGGAGTCACTGGCAATGCACGGGCCGTCGCATGTCACTCAAGAACCCCCCTCCAGTTGTTGGTTCGTATCAATGAAGAGTAAAAGAGCAGAATAGAAAAAATTGAAAGGACAGAATAAAGAAAAAACGAGAAGAAGAACAGATTAGAAAAAAAGGAAAAGAGGAGACAACCAGGGTGGAACAAGAACTGGTAGGGACCAGGTAACAGATGTGGTGTTGTGGTCTTACGCTCAACCACATCCGACCCGGACTAGGCTAAACATGGCTCCCCCAATTCCCAATCCTAAGTGTGTGAGAGAGGGAATGGGAGAGGAAAAGAGGTGAGACAGGGAACAGCATAGTTTGTAGTGTGGTATCAACTGCACTTTCAAGTATAGCCCTGTGCTTACTTTAGCTCTAATTTAAATCTAATTTAAAGGGGTTATCTTTGCCATGGCTATAACGGTCCCCAGAATGATCCTATAGCCATGATGTAATATAATGTTTGTATCTTGTTATTACCGAACATGATATTAAAGCATAGAATAGTATGTGATAGGGTGTGTCCTTGTAACAATGGATTTATGCACATGTAGGTAATTGTAAAATCCAGGTTAGGTTAGGTTAGGGTATAAGGGTTTTGTCGATCGTCTGTACCCCTGAAATGAAACTTTGAAGGCGAATAACTCCGGATAGGAAGGTCGTAGCGACATGAACCCAAGTTCTACCCCCCCTACCAATGGGTCTGGCTTTCAATTGGTGGCATCCGTTTGGCTCTACGACCTTCCGGTCCGGAGATACGCCCACTTTTTGACATCCGGTTGTCTGTATCTCCGGAACGGAAGGTCGTAGAAACTCGCGGACAACTCTGGCGTGCTCAGAAGGGTCAATTATGGCAGACGGATCTTGGTTGCGAGCCTCTACGACCTTCCATTCCGGAGATATTCACCGTCAAAGTCGCCCCATTGAAACAAATGGGAGGCGGGTGACTGAAAAATTCCTAAGTGTCAGGGGCCAAATCCTTACCCCCAAAGGCCCCCGGGGGACAATCGCCCATTGAAATCGCCAGACACGCCCCCCCCGCGCCGTACCGGGCCCCTTCGGGCCCCCGCCGCCCAGCCCCTGAGGCCCCCAAGAATCCGGGAGGGCCGGGACCGGGGGCCGCCCGGCGCTCCGAGGCACGTCCCCCTGGGGCCCTCGGGGGCTTCGCTGCGATTTTCCAAAGTTACAATGGGGATGTAGGGCGATTGGCACAGTACCGCCCCGATCCACAAGGTGGAGTTTGGGGCTACGGGGTGGCAAATTTGTCAAAAAGTAAACTTTTAAGGGGCCAATGTTCCGACCTGTCACTTGTCCGACATTTGTATGTCAAATGGCAAATCCGTAGGGCAAATGGCAAAATGTCAGGATAATGGCAACTGTTTTGACACTAGCCCGACATTTGTATGCGGAATGGCAAAAGCGTCGGGGTAATGGCAAATGCGGAGGTGACACTTTGCCGTTTGGCCGGGCACTAGACCTTTGTCCGGCAAATGGCAAATTGTCATTTACCCAACATTTGTCCAGCAAATGGCAAATAATTGCCTTTTTTTTCCCTATATTTGTCCGGCAAATGGCAATAATTGCCAGTTACCCTACATTTTTCCGTCAAATGTCAATAAATTACCAATTCCCCTACATTTGCCCGCCAAATGTCAAACTATTGCCAATTCCCCTACATTTGCACATCAAATGGCAATTGCCAATTCCCCTACATTTGACGGCCCAATGGAACTACCATATATTAGTGCATAAACTGGCAAATGATAGCTGTTGGGCATTTTTATGTATTCAATTCAGGCGTACCAACACACGCAAAGGGGTTAGAAATATTAGGTTCTCAATACCATCTATAAATAAACACCAAAATCACTTTGAGGGTGAGAGAATGTCCCTACATTAGTCCAGCAAATGGCACATTGCCATTTCACATACATTAGTCCAGCAAATGGCACATTGCCATTTCACATACATTTGTCAGGTCAATGGACAACAACTCCCATTTTGTCAATCAAAGGACACCTGTTTGGATCCAGTTGTCTGCCTCAAATCAAGGTACAGACGTGTTGTCTTTACAGGGACACTCTAAAAAAATGCCTGCCATTTATTTAACAAGAGTCCACAAATTTAACTGTATTTAATTGGAACCCAGAAAAATGTGGTCAGGCCCCTGATTTCAGCATAAGTACTGTAGAAAGGGTCTAGTTTGTAGTAAAAATCCCATCCAAGTTTTATCCTGACAGCATCTTGCTAAGGTGGTGAAATAAGGTCCAAAAGTTCACCTTGCATAATTTGACTTAGCACACTTTGTACTTATATTGTCAGCCTAGTTCAGGGCCATACGGTCCATTTGTAATAGAAATATCAAAAGTTTGCTATTTTGATGACATAGTAATTAGTAATTAGTAATAATAGTAATTAGTAATTTTAATGACATAGTAGTGAGAGTGCAAATGTCAAGTTTGTCATTTTACCTAAATATGTAGGGCAAATGGCAAAAGCATGTCATTCTACCTACATTTGTAGGGCAAATGGCAAAAGTTTCTAATTTTACCTACATTTTTATGGAAAAGGTCAAGTGCGTGTGTGTGTGTGTGCGCGCGTGCGTGCGTACGTGCGTGCGTGCGTGTGTGTGTGTGTGTGTGTGAAATACAAAACAGCATGTTTTCAAAAACTCTGCTTTAATAGCACAGACTTAGGAGTTTTCCAATAAAAGATGAAGTAGACAAAATGAGACTGTTGCATGACAGTGAACAAAAAACAGCCACAGGGTGTAAAATAACAAATGAAACAAATGAAATAAACTACAAGACTACCCTCGTCTTGAAGCGTAGCGTCCGCCTTGCCTGCTCACTTTTTTTCTTGGCTGTGAGTTTCAGCGGGCTCAGGAGGACCTTGGGATACTGACGCTGATGTGTATAGGAAAACAGAAAACATTCATTAGTTATTTCCAAACAGGAAAACATATAATGATCAAAATATGAAATGAACAATGCTTACCAACAATGGCTTGGCCCTTCGGGTGGTTCTTCGCTGTGTGCGATCATGCAAAAGATAAAGACTCACGTTTAGAAATGACAATAGAGCTCAATGACAGATGAAGAATTTTCAATTGTACTTACAGCTGGCACACGTGAGCTCAGGGGAGATGATGCCAGCTCAGGCTCCTCTGTTTGCCGAGGTTCTGCAGTCGGCTGAGGTTCTGCCGTTTCTTCCAGTTCATCCGTTTGCTCCGGTTGTCCAGGGTTAGGGTGGAACACATTAGTGATAAAGTCATCATCATCATAAAGCAGCCTTCAAGGTTAACAGCCAGAAGCAACTGAACCCAGGATGATGTCAACAATGGCGACTGAAAGAACTCACCTCAGAAGGTTGTCCAGGCAGCGCTGGGGCGGTCGTCTCCGGCTGTGCGCCTTGGACAGGTGTGGTTTGCTGGAGAATGAACACATAATGAAATCATCATAAAGCGGTGAGGGAGGGTCACAGTGCTCAACAACACACATCCGTTCAGAGTGTGAATGAACTTACACCACGACGGTCGCCCTCGTCCTCTTCCAGAGAGTCTCCCTCCTCCTCAGACTCCGAGGTACCGCTTTCCTGATAGCTGACGTGGCCCTCCTCCTCTGTTTCCGAGCTGTTGTGACGCCGCCGGGCCTTCTTGGCCTGAGGGAGCTGAGGTGTAAAAGCGGAGGTCTCCGCAGAGTCTGTTTCGCTCGGCCAGATCATTTGCAGTTCGGCCGTCATGTCGAATGGATCCTCCCGGGTAGTGTCCTCCTCCAGTGTGGATTTTTCAAACATGTCCCTGACGGCGCCGCTCTTGAAAGGGTCCAGGAAGACAGAATAAAATTTGTCGGCCGTGCGCACGTCATGGCACATGGCCGCCGAGATCATCTCCCTCACCCTGGGAGTGTGCTTTTCCTTGGCCTGAAGCCGTGAAGCAAAGAAGAGACACATGAAAATGCAGTGAGTATTTTTGTCTTTAGTCCAGCAAATAACTTGCTGGCTGTGGTTGGTTAAGAGCTCATCTACACAAAGTGCGACATATAGAGTCACACGTCAACGCTGGTAAACAACTCACATATGACGCTACGGCGGTCCTGAGCTCAGTGAACGTGGGCTTCCCTGCCAGCCCCATCTCCTCCCACGCCGCCTGGAGGAAGCGGACCAAGTTCTTGTTTTGGCGCGCAGTGGCTCCAAAGAAGACGAGATTTCCGTCTGGCTTGAGCGCCTTTCGGACGGCCAGCCACCTTTCCATCCACTGGAACTCGTCTTCTTTGAGGAAGACCTGCGCGTACCCAAAGAACCTGTTCGTCTTGTGCTCCGCGATCTGCAACAGAGGACACCTCGTGGTTAAACACAAGAGAAACGATGCCCAAAGCAAAGACAAAGGAGTGTTTTTCTACTAACGTTGATGATAAACCCGGGGCCACCGGGTTTGTACTGGCTTCGGGCGTCCGTCACCTCCGCCACCTTCATATTGGCGATAACGCCCGTCCGGTGTCCATATATGGACGCAATCAGAGCAGCGAAGTAGCCGAACAAGCTGTGGCGGAGTTTCGGGTCCCTCGGCTCCTTCTCCACTTGTTCTGTGAAGATCAAACACAAGTGAGCTCTGTTTAACATCTCCGCTCGACAGAACCTGTCACCCATCGTGACATCCTCCAAAGCGTAAACACCGACATCACCGATTCTTACCCAGCACCCCGGGAATGGCCTGACGGCAGCGCTCGCAGCAGAGGCGGAGATCGGACGCGGGGATGAGCCGCAACTGTTTGGCCGCCTTCACCTTCATCTGATATACGCTGACATCCCTGAGAAGAGGCCTGATGCACTGCAGGATGGTGCGCATCACTGCAGTGACCTGCGTGCTCTTCAGCCGGCACTGAGGTGGTGGCGTCTCCTTGAAGTACCTCATAAAGGAGTAAATGTTCCTGAGGTAGAAGGTGACGGTGGTCACCTTCTTGCCACATTTCCTCAGATGCCCGACCCACCTGAAGAGAACATAATAGAAAAAGCTCAACACTTTGTTTTCCTTTGTGATTTTGCCTGACTGCAGGTGATGTACACTTACTCCACGATGACCTGCGTGCGTGACAGGAAGGTCCAGTCCCACACCTTAAGGGCCCCCACCGCCATGAAATTCAGGAACCTCCTGACCCTCATGACTTTGGAGGCCACGTTGTCCACCTGCTTGTGTGTGTGCTGGACCCCTTTGAGGAAGCAGCGGTAGTCGTCAAGGTATTGATCTGTGGAGACACGTTCACGTAGCAATTAACAAGGAGGAATCCTTTGGGAAGGATATTCATCGAGACGTGAGGTAAACAGATAAGAAAACTAACCCATCGCTGCCGAGAACCCGGACAGCAACGAGGCGGGACTCGGGCGAGGCGTCGTTGCCAACTCCCGTGGCGACAGGGGCTCTTGGTTGGCCTCCGGGGAAGACGGGCTGCCACCGGTGTGGTGCACCTTCCTGGTCCTCTTGGCCGGTGGAGCAGAGTCCCCTCCTTCGCTCCGGCCAGAGGACGGGGCGACGCTGCCGGCCTGTCCGCCGACGCCTGCCGAGACGCTTTCCCAAGAGACCCTGGGCGTCTTGGATGGCCGGGACGGTGGTGGTGATGGTGGGGAGAGTGGGGAGAGTGGTGGTGGTGATGGTGGGGAGGTTGTCGGTGACGATGAAGGGGAGGAGGTCTCAGAAGAAGAGGTCAAGGCAGGCGGTGGTGGACGGACGTGCACGGAGGAAGGACGTCTGACAGCGTGCTGAGTGGAAGGGCGTCTGACAGCGTGCTGAGTGGAAGGGCGTCTGCCAGCTGCAGCAGAACTTCCTCCCGGGCTCTGCGTTGCTGCGGCTGACGGGGATGGACGCACGTCCACCTCCTCCGGAACAGGGAGGTCTTTAGTGATTTTCTAAAAAAAAACAAAAAAGCCAAGAAAAATAAACAAAATGGTTATTACATGTGAATGTCACTGTCCAGTTTATAAATATAGCACATTTACAGCAGTCAGAGACAGCACAAAGTGCTGTACATCAGAAAAAATTCAATGATAAAACACGTGGTTTAAAGGAGCAACTTGATCACGTGCTTGCTGAGTATTATTTCATGAGTTAAATAGAATTTATAAGCATGTGTAACTCACTTTCCCAGTCCTCCGCTCGAACCTGGAGACCCTGCGGTGGTAGAGGCGGAAGGTCTTCCGCAGGTTGTCCAGCTGCTGCTTGACACCCTCGTACTTGCGCTGGAGGGTGTTGCAGCCCTGGCAGCTGGCCTGCGCTTCCGCCTCCTCCTCTGACCAGACGTCAGAGTCGTCCTCCTCCTGGTCCAGCTGGCTGACCATTGGCGGGTGAGGGGCAGTGGCCCTGAGGGCTGCCAGCTGGAGGATGGTCACCCGTCTCTGGGCGGTGTCTACAGCCCGTTGCAGCTGCTCCTTGGAGAGCTCCGGGTGGCTGCTTTCCAGGTGTTTGTCACACCTGGACGACATGTAGGTGCACCCAGAGACGGGGCAGGGCTCATAACGGAAGAACACCCACTTGCTTGCCAGCTTGAGCAGCAGCTGACGCTCCTCGCCGTTGTCCACCTTGTGGGCCCTTTTGAGATGGTGGGAGACAGCTGCGAAGGGGCGGCCACAGATGGGGCAGTTGTGGTACTTGGATGCCATGGTCACTAAGGTATGTATGTTTGATGTATGATGTCAGTGTGTCTAAGGACGGGAAATAGAAGAAAGTGTTTATTTTTGACCCTAGTGTGAAGCTACACAAAGTCACAGAAGTCTCCTTGTCCAGTAAATGCTTTGTTCCACACCAAATCCTGTGTAAACACTGGTGTGTGCTCATGTCAAGCTGTCATAAATGTAATAACACAGTGTAACAGCTAACCTGTTGAGCTTATCGCAAGGAACTACAACTTTAACATGCCAAAAACTACAAAATGACACCCTCTAGTGGCTAAAAACCTTTGCTTTAAGAGAACTTCCTGCACAGCTTATTAAAAGCTTCAAACACTTTTGGACATGTTATGCATTGTAGTCATTTATATATATACAACCTGTAGTTTATATGTGTGCTGTGCTGCTAAACTCTTCCCATTTTATTAAATGAGATTGATTTGCACTCATTTCACTGTGAGAAAAGGTGGATTTTAGCACTCTGTTGAGCTTACTGCAAGGAACTACAACTTTAACATGACAAACACTACTAGATGACAACTTCATGCACATGTTCTATTCACTGTTCAGGGTAAAATTGCACTTTAAACCATTTAATTATTACAGAGAAACGTGGACACGATGCTTACCTGTAGATGAACTCCAAGAAAGAGGTAATTGGCCGGTGACTGGGCGGAGATAACCACAAAGCGCGTGCCAACTGAGCCAATGCCGGTGACTGGGCGGAGCGGAGAAGCGCGCGACAACTGTGCCAATGGAGCGGGACACGGATGTCAGCTGGGAGCACACAACAACACCGCGGATGTAACGGGAAACACTGCACACCTACCTAAGCTGATAAAATGACAAGAGGATGGATGTAACGGGAAACGCTGCTCACCTGCGCTCATTAAACGGGACACGACAAGAGGAGGCAGCCAAGCGTGAACCACCTGTGCGCACGGAGATGGTGGTGAGCTTTGCGCAGACAGCAAGCCGTTAGCAGATAGTCTAGTGGTATGATCATTGAAATCTACACATGTGTTGATGGACAGAAGGCTCCTGGACACTGCACAATCATTTGGAACGATCTGATCGCTCCCCGGACTCAGCAAAACGCGCGTCGGTGACAGAAGCTTTGCGCAGGAGTTCACGTGACCAAAACATAGCAGAGACACGCGGTAAAAACGTCACCACTGCATGACTGTCACACCTGAGTAGGAGATCAGAAGCATCCTTTAAGGATTAAACCCCGTGAAACATGGATGGACCTGCTGGAAGACTAGCTCTGCACCAGTTAACCCATTAAACCTTCATGCTAATCGTGCAGCATCTCAGGTGAGTGTTGGCTCAAATCAATTTTAAAAGCTAAGCCTCAGCTAATGCTTGTGCAAAAAAACAACTAAAAGCTCCTCTTTGGGTCCACAGTAACACACTTTGGATGACTTCACCTCCTCCAGCCAGCCAAACCTAATGGGAATGATCATCTTGGCGTGCAGAGGTCAGCTACACACTAAAAACAGTTGGGTTAAAAATGACCCAATTTGGGCTGTTTTTTAACCCAGCCGCTGGAGCAATATTGCACCAGCCCAGCAGTAGTTAATTTAACCCAGCAAGATGGGTTCCTCCATTTTAACCCAGCAGATGAGTTAAATATTCCACCCAAATTCTGGGTCAAAATAGCCACAAATCTGGGTAAATTCAACCACACATACGTGTTATTTACTCTAAATGCTGGGTCAAATTAACCACTATTTTGGGTTGTTTCAACTAAATATGTGTTATTTACTCTACCTAAATGCTGGGTCAAATTAACCACTATTTTGGGTTGTTTCAACTAAATATGTGTTATTTACTCTACCTAAATGCTGGGTCAAATTAATTAAACTATGGGTTGTTTAAACAACATAATGTTCAGTAATCAATCCAAATGTTTGGTCAATACGCCAAATTATTTCTAACTCATTACATACAGTGCATTTTGGAAGACAGAAAATTGCACCTCTCCATACTCAACTATCAAAACATACATGCTAGACTTGGTC